ACATCAACAGAATGGTTCTGTGGAACGTAAGCATCGACACATTGTTGAAACTGGTCGGTTCCGTTTTGGTTCTGGAGTGATGCTCTTACCACTGCATGTTTTCACATAAACCGCACTCCCACTCGTGTTTTGAATATGAAGACTCCCATTGAAGTTCTCCTTAATGGACAACCTGATTATACCTTTTTAAAGGTTTTTGGGTGTGCTTGCTGGCCGCATCTCCGCCCATGTAACAAGCGCAAGCTTGAGTTTCGTTCCAAGAAGTGTGTTTTTCTTGGCTATAGCTCTCTTCATAAAGGTTACAAATGTCTTCATGTTCCCACAAATCGTGTCTACATATCTCGGGATGTCGTGTTTGATGAGCATGTTTTTTCCTTTGCCAAGCTTCCTGTGTCCACTGCTGAACCACCATCTTTGCATTCATCCTCCGTTGCATCTGACCAATTTGATGATGTTGCATACTCTCCTATTTTGTTGCCTAACCATGGTGCAGGCACTGGATGTGGGGCTCGGTTGGAGATTTTGGAGGCACCATCGTCTCCCTCGTCGGTCTTACCAACAGTTCACGACGATCACGGTGTGCCTCTGCATGGCCTTGTCCCTCGTGCCCATGCACGACGGACCGAACCTCCTGCCATGCCGTGTGCTTCGGTGCCCCCGGCCCCTGGACCGGTGCCCATGGTCTCTGGGCCGCCTTCGTCGGTGCCTGGGCCGATCGGCTCGTCGCCCCTGGCCCCTGAGCCGGCCTCTGAGCCGGCCTCGCCGCTTTGCCTGGCCACACCGGCCCCGTCACCCTCTCGGCCTGCCACGCCGGCCTCGTCGCCCTCTCAGTCTACCACGCCGTCTGGGCCGTGCTCTCCTGGGCCGAGCTCGCCTGCCCCCGGTGCACTCTCGCCGGTGCTCACTAAGGCATCCCTGTCGATGGCCGAGGCGTTGCCATCGCCGTCACTGCCTTCATCACCTGAGCCCTCTCTGGCTCCTGTGGCTCCTGTGGCTCCTCAACGACCACACACGCGGAGTCGCAGTGGTGTGTTTCAGCCCAAACAACGCACTGATGGTACTGTTGCTTGGTTGGCTGCATGTCTGGCTGCTGCCCGTGCGGATCCTACCTCTGAGCCTCGTACGTACCAAGCTGCTCTTAGTATACCTCATTGGCAAGAGGCCATGGAACAGGAGTACCATGCTCTTCTTCGTAACAAGACATAGACTCTTGTTCCGCCACCACCCCGCGTTAATGTCATCGATTCTAAATGGGTTTTCAAAGTGAAGAAGCATTCTGATGGTTCTATTAAGCGCTACAAGGCGCGGCTGGTTGCTCGAGGTTTTCGGCAGCGTTATGGTCTTGATTAACACCTTTAGTCCAGTGGTTAAACCTACTACTATCAGGCTTCTTCTCTCTCTCTCTCTTGCAGTTACTCGGGGTTGGTCTCTTCGTCAGCTTGATGTGCAGAATGCCTTTCTCCATGGTGTTCTGGAGGAGGAGGTCTATATGCGGCAGCCCCCAGGGTTCTCTGATCCTGATCGTCCTGATTATCTGTGTCGTCTCACTAAAGCACTCTATGGTCTGAAGCAGGCTCCCCGTGCTTGGAATGCTCGCTTGCGACAACCCTTCGTGCTCATGGTTTTGCATCATCGGCTGCTGACTCTTCGTTATTTCTTCTACAAAGGCCCGAAGTTACCATGTATCTGCTGGTCTATGTGGATGATATTATACTTGCCAGTTCTTCTCAGTCGGCTGCTGCTGCTCTTGTTAGGTCTCTTGGTGTTGACTTTGCGGTCAAAGATCTTGGGAAGCTTCACTATTTCCTTGCTGTGGAAGTTGCTTCTCTCTCTGATGGTCTTGTTATGACGCGGAAGAAGTACTCTTTGAACTTGTTACAGCGGGCTAGAATGCTTAAGTGCAAACCAACTACTACACCTATGTCTGCTACTGACAGGATCACTGTTGTAGATGGCACGCTCCTTCCCTCTGCTGACGCGACACAGTATAGGAGTATTGTTGGTAGGTTGCAGTATTTGACGATCACTCGTCCAGATATTTCCTTTGCCGTCAACAGAGTATGTCAGTATCTCCAGGCACCTCGTGACACTCATTGGTCCGCGGTTAAGCGCATTTTGCGCTACATTCGCTTCATGTTGTCCTATGGTTTGCACATTCGACCGAACCCCTCTGGGGTCATTTCAGCATATTCTGATGCGGATTGGGCTGGCAGTCTGGATGACAGGCGATCCACGGGGGGCTATGCTGTGTTCTTTGGTTCTACCTTGATCGCCTGGAGTGCTCGGAAACAAGCTATTGTCTCATGTAGCAGTACTGAAGTTGAGTATAAGGTTGTGGTTAATGCAACTGCAGAAATTATCTGGGTACAGTCTTTGCTCCAGGAGTTGGGTATATCTCAATCACAGTCTCCTATTCTTTGGTGTGATAATATCGGTGCTACATATCTATCTGCTAATCCGGTATTCCATGCCCGAACGAAACACATCGAAGTGGACTATCATTTTGTACGGGAACGGGTATCTCAGAAGTAACTACAGATCAAGTTCATCTCTTCCAAGGATCAACTTGCAGACATCTTCACCAAGCCATTACCTCTCCCACAGTTTGAGAATTGTCGGCGCAATCTTACCCTTCTAGATTCTTTAGGAAGTGGCTAAGATTGAGGGAGGGTGTTAGACTGTATAGCTTCTGTATATGTGTACGTATGATGTAACGTTATACCCCTTCATTATATATATGTGATAGGCCAACCCTATAGGGTTGAGCCGGTTCCTCCAAACCTATCGTCTTACAATAAATGATGTAAATATAGCATGAATACTTTATAAATTATAGATACGTCAGAGACATATTATTGAATAGCTGGACTCATGGGTTAGATGGAATTCCTACCGAATTCTATCAAACGTGATGCAACCACAACCATGTTGTCCAGCTGATGAGAGCCAGAGCTAAGGCTAGTCGGCATTAAACCAAATTCAAAGCAAAAGGCAAAAGGCAAAGGGACAAAAAAAATAATGAAACCGGGAAAAGGCTAACTCTTGGCATTGCATAAAGCCGGATTCTACTCTATCAGCACATGTGTAGGGTGGGGTGCCCCTTTTTTTTTTAATGATTTTTTAGTTTAAAAAATGTCACCAAAATCTAAAACAAATGTTCAAACATTTGAAAAAATTATTTGGAATTTCGAAAAATGGTCCAAATTTTATAAATACCTCCCAGATTTAAAAATGTTCATGAATTTGACCAATATTAATCAGATTTTAAAATATGTTCCGAATTTTAAAAAAGATCCTGAATATCAAAAGTTGTTCCTAAATTTTATAAGTATTCACGGATTAAAAAAATATTCCAAAATTTCAAAATATATTTTTAATTTTTAAAAATTATTCAGGAAATTTCAAATGAAATAAAAATGAAAAACGAAATGAATAATATAAGAAGAAAAAGGAAACCAAAAAATAAGAAATAAAAAATGGTTCTATAAAGGTTCAACTGGTGGGACGGAAAACCAGAAATGGGCTGGCCCATATAGCGGTACAGTTCTTGCGTTTCTCCCCCGCGTGTGACAGGGAGAATAGAATTGGGGCCGATCAGACGGTTAAAAAAAGCGGGAGCTCCTATTTGCCGCGTTCTGCGGCAAATACACGGCCCCTCGCAAGCCGGCCCATTCAGTGCACATCGATATGATGGGGAAAAAATCGCAAAAAGGATAGTGCGCGTTGGTTGGGAATCGAACACGTGGCTGCCTAATTGCGCTAGCTCGCTGCTAGCCACCAGGATCGAAGAGATTTGTAAACCAAAACACAACGGAACACTAAAAGAAACTGATGACAGTATCAGACTTAACACAGTTCGACAAAATCCCGAATAATATTTTGAACATACGAACAATTTTTCACAAATACAACTTTTAGGAAATCGAAAAGTTTTTAAATTTGCCAAACATTTAGGACAATTCTTTAAAGCACAATTTTTTTTTGAATTTTGAGATTTCGAAACAAAGAATAATTTCGAAATACCAAACAAATTTGAAGCACGGACATTGATTACATGAACAAAAATTTGGAATCTGATTTTTTTTGAAACCCTTGATTTCTTTTGGTGTAAAACACGAATATTTTAAAAACACAAACCAGTTTAGAATTATCAGAACAATGTTTTAAAAATCCTAGAATTTGTTTGAAAGGCAAACAAATCTTAAACATTTTCTTATTTCCGAAACTTTTAAACATTTTTTGTAAAATGCGAACAATTTTATAATTTTGAGTATATTTTTCGAAAACTGTACTTTTTTGGAAACGCAAGTTTTTTTGAATATCTTGAGTTTTTTTGACAAAAATGAGAACAAAAGAAAAAATAAATTGAAAAACCAAAAAAAAGAGCATAAAAAACAAAAAAAAAAAGAAAAGGAAAAAAAGAAAAACGAAAAGAAGAAGGAAAACAAAAAAGAAACTAGAAAAACCGGTTCAAGAAACTTCTGGAAGGTTCGCAAATCAGGCCAGGAACCATCCAGAAGGTTCCCCAAACTGGAAAATTGATCCCACGTAGAAAGATGCTAACTGGGCCGGCCCAGGTATCATCGAACATGTGCAATAGGTCGACATTTGCTGCATTCTCCCAATTTTGAGAATCAATCCTTCTCTTAAAATGTTGAATTCATATTATTTTTTGCAATCTTAATTAGTTATGATTTTCAAAAATATGGGTTCAAGATAAGATTCTGGAAGAAACTGGAGGGAGGACCGAAGATTCCGGGAGAATCGGCCGAAAGAATTGGGCTTTCATAAAAAGCAACTGCGCCCTTTGGGGAATTGGGCTTCTCATTTGTGCAGACAATGACGATAACCGGGATTCACGCTCGGCCCAGTCAAGCCTATACCAAACCCTCTGTCCCTTCCCGTCCTCCTCCTCTCTCCATACTTCCCCTCTCCAGGGTTCGTTTCCCCTCGGAGCCGAAACCCTAGCCGCCGCCGCCGACCACCGCGAGCAAGCTCAGATGGGAGGCAAGTGCCCACACCGCAAGGTGAAGAAGCGCCGTCTCAACTGCAAGCAGGTGCGCCGCGGCAAGTTCCTCGTCAAAGCCGACGACGCCGTCTACGACGAGCTCGTCAAGCTGGCCGACCAGGGCAAGGATTCCGAGGGCAAGGCGCTACCCGTCGACGAGGACCTCCCCGGCATGGGCCAGTTCTACTGCCTCCACTGCGAGTATGCCTCCCAACTCTACCACTAGTCTGCTTCGATTTCCTCCATCAGTTTCAAGCACAAATGTGATGGTCCTGTTTACATGCCGTTACAAAGATAGTACGGCGTTTTGGGGTCAATTAGGATGTGATTAGTTGCATATACTGTGAAGTAGTATATATGTTGCTGCACATATGCTATGGGAAGATGTAATAGTATCTGTGTCTGAATACTTGTGGATCTATGGTTTGTTTTGACAGTGCCTTGATTGAATCAAGATTGGTAGGTGGGCAACTGTACTTGTGAATCATTGTATCACACTATGATTTGTTCTCTGCATGTGAGGAACTTCATTTCTCAGTTTCTCATACAGCAATGCAACTCTATTTCCTTCTGATTATTTATTTAGTACTTGTTCTGTTGGTGGCTGCAGTCGGTACTTCGCGGATGAGACCGTAAAGGAGGATCACTACCGCTCAAAGCGCCACAAGAAAAGGTAATTCCCCTTGTTCTGAGTCAACTTATTAAAGCTTCTGTTCAGAGTTATATGATGCACCAGAGCCTCCTGAGCTGGGGCACCTGCGTCGATGCCCGCATCAAATACCAATCCGAGAATCAGATTTGGAGAGATAATTTTAATATGCCAGTGATCAAGTAGCAATATGTTGGCCCAGCGTGACTAAGCCTAGCACATCCCACAGCCATGCCTCCTGTGCAGCACACTTGCATATGACGTTCCTTTCCTCTCTCACTGTGTTGGTGATTGCCCATCAACAAGAGAAACCTAATGCATGCACTATGTTGCATGATGCTATAGCTGAACAGAGGAGACTCTGCTCTAAATTCTCTCGCACAGTGTTGATGAAGTAACTGTTTAATTGAATCGCGTGTGAGTTTTAGATGTTCAAGAGTGAATTTTATTGCGTTAATGTAATGCAGTTGCTGAGAAGTAAGAACATTGGCTAGTGTTTATTAAGAATTTTAGCCTGATGAAAGATTTTTAATTCTGCTGGATTTAATTTGTGGACATAAGCATAGCTCAAACATGTCTCCGGTTCTCCACGAATAACTTGACCTTGACAGAAACATATGAAGCTGTAGAAGGATCTTGATGTGTGTAAGTGGGCATTGTGTTAGTATCCTATCTAATCACTACCTTTTGATTCATGTAGGGTCAAGCAGTTGTCTGGGCCAGCCCCACACACGCAAATAGATGCCGATCTCGCTGGTGGAATGGGAATGCCGGACAATGGCTTGAAGCTCATGTCTTCCTGAACTTCATGATCGTTGTTTGATGTTTTATTGCTGCTGCTATACATCTGTACCAACTTTGCTTGATTTGTAACTTGCAAATAGTCTCTTTGGTCGAAGAGGTTAGGATTTTACATTGCTGTATCTGCCTCATGGTTGCCAACTTTTATCTAAATTGAGAACGAGTGACTTATCTGCGTCTGGGACAAAATGTCAATGATTTAGCAGCAGATTATGCACTATGAATTAGAACTCCATATTGGTATTCTCATCAGCTTGAAAACAAGCTATCTGCAGGCCCTTCGTCGATTGCGTTAATTTCTACTTGCTGTCATCAGACAAGTACAAATTATAGTAGGTCCTTTTCTGTTGATATTTCTTGGGTTATCGATATATGCGTGTAGGTCATTGCCCTGGTCCATTGTTTTGTTTGGGCGGTGCCATTACAACTGTATTGTCACATGTTATTTATGCTCGTTTTGGATCTCCATGACCCTGCATCCTGCATCCTTAGACAAGGACACTCATTCTGGAACTTGTTACTACTACAAACAATTTCACTTAGATAATAGATGTCTCAACTATCTAGGTATCTGCTTTTAATTAACTTATTATGTTTATAACAAATATTATGCAGAACGAATGTGTATAGCAGATAAATAACAACTGTGAAGATTATTTATAGTCTTAAAACATTTAATTTCCTATCAGAAATCTGTATATCTATTTATATCTATATCTATATATACTGCTGCTATACACACTTGTTCTGCATAATATTTGGTAGCTTGTACTCCCTCTATATGCTCTTATATTTCTTTACAGAGGGAGTACTAGCTAGGTGCTATACAAGCGTACTTATGGCTTGTACTCCAAGGGGAGTACAATGCAAGACACCTAGGGGAGATGCTTAGAGAAATAACCCAATGTTTTTTTAAGCACCGGTGCTTATTTGTAGAGGGTAGAGCTCTTTTCTTTAGAAATAGGCATGGGTGCTTTAGGAAAATTCGGTTTATTTTTTTTTAGTACTTCTATGAGCACCTACCAATGCACAAGGTCGAGTGGTTTCTTGTATGGTCGAGTGGTCTTCGAACAGGTGGGACACCCGAGTGATATGATTGGTCGAGTGGATTGCACTCGACGTCTTCGTTGGGTACTCCCTGTTGTCTCTTGGTCTTCTTTGCTGGTAGGGTAGTGACCTTGGGTAGGGTATGTTGGTGCCTATGACCCTACCCTAAGTTTATATCCTCATCAGTCCCCTCGTGGGACTACATTGCAAGTTGTAAAAGCGTGGAGGAGGCGGAACTCCGAGCTTGCATTGTCGGCCTTTATATATAGGTATAATACTTCACTTTTCTATTATTATAGAGACTGACTACTTGTGTTGCTGCGATTATTAGAGGAAGTTATTGATAGATCAGCTTTGCACGATCAGAAGAAAAAAGCCTGAAGTATCTGTAAGCTTATTACTCGGCTCAAAGTTCCAAAGATTACGTGGTCAGCCAATGTGGTGGCCCATTTATTAGCAAAATTTAGCTTTGATAATAGAGCCGATGGCTTATTAATGATGTACCGTCATGTGTGGTGAATTCTATAACGAATGTTTGTAACATTTAGTTTGATCAATATATGAGGTGTGGGTTAAAAAAAGGTCGACCATAGAAATTAATCGAGCGAAATCACGAACCAAATCAATCCGACCAAGCCCCTCAAAAAAATATATTAAAATTCGCTCTGCTCGATACCAATGTAGTAGCAGCCAATCCACCCTAAAAAAACAGCCAATCCTTCAGAATAGTTGTAGCGGTGGATGCACGCCCGACGACCGCTCGGCGTGGCTATCTCAGAAACAACGAAACTGCTACCCACACGATAATGCTGCACGATCTTTGCACGACGTGCTAATCCAGCGGTCAGTGCCTTTCTGAATCCTGTGCATGTCCGGCTAGATTTGAGTATCGTACATGAATCGTCTGGCTCGTGTCGTGTGTATAGCACTGCTGCAGAAACAATCAACGATCGGAATGCAACAGGAAAATTAATCAATTAGCTCGATCCTTTGAACGTCGTAGCAACGCGATTATTACATTCACTCTCCTATATATAGGTACTAGAAGAATGCCCGTGCGTTGCAATGGGGCCATATTAATTTTAAGAGTTCAATACTAATATTCTCATACATATCAAGTGACATTGACGACCTTTTTTATCATCAAATTTTCACACACACACTCTCTGCCTCCCTTTTCCTCACTCTCTCTCTCCCCCTCTCTCTAACACACACACACACACACACACATCCATATTATTGGGTACGGGACCATAATCAATCTATTTTACACACACGCTAGTGCATAACAATATGGATTATGTGTATTATATTTGCCACCACAACTAAGGAAATTAATTTCATGTAAATCGGCTAGCCACAGCTCCAAGAATACGCGGAGGATGTGGCCCGCTTCCAAGTGTGTCTGCGCGCCGGCCACCCACGCTGGGTCCTTCAAGTGCCGCTTCCACCGCACCAACTCCCAGGGCCAGGGAAGCCGCCCTTCTTCGCCCCCTTCACCGGCCGCGGCCAACGCGGTGCCGCGGCACCCAGCCTCGCCGTTCTCGTCCTCCGGCACCGTCACGATCCAGTGACGTAGCCTAAGCATGGGCCTCGAGAATCAAGAACGCTCGACAACGGAGAGGGAAGGGAAGATCATATACATGTCATAAGAAAGAGGGTTTATTTATCGCTCCCTTGATGTATTGTTTCCTTTGTTTGGAGATTGATTACCATCCATGAGTTAAGGTAAGGTTAATGTGATTGAGCAATTTTTTCTGAAAATCAATTATTTGTTTTTAATTAATGTGATTGAGCGATTTAAGGTAAGGTTAATTAATTTAGATTTGACCTTTAGAGATTGTTCGTGATTGATTCTACATTACTAAATATCTTGCGCCAGTAAGGAAAGTTCTGATCTGTTCAGGTTTCTTTCGTTGTGTGAGAGGGTGACGCGAAAATAAACCGATGAAGTGGGGGGAGGGGACAAAAAAAATCTACGAAAAACCCAGCGAAGGTGGGAGGAGGTACCAAAAAAATCATGGGAGGTGGGACGAAAAAAAACCTCCCATACTTCATGCAGGAAGAGCACACATTCATAAGCTAACGGTTTCACAATGCGTTCTTGCTGATAGTAATTGAACCAAATAAAACGATGGACAAGCAGATTGATTAAGGAACTCTAGGTAATACTTCATGACGTAAGCATTGGCTCAAAAAGTTAATTTATAAGTAACAAAAAAAGGCCTAGAAGAATAGTTCTACCTAAATAAAGTTTACTGCTGCACATGAGCAGATCCACACGAAGCAGAGGGGAGGTGGAGCAGGCCGGTAACCAGGGGAAGGAGCAGAGTGGGAGAAGATTTACACCGCCGTCTCCACTGGAAATGGTGTCTCCGCCGCATCTGTGGAGGCGCCGCGGCTCCGCCTCGGATGGTGCTCGTGGCTATGGTGAAGAGGAGGGGCGACGCATGGGTGAAGAGGCAGGCGGTACTCGTGGCCAAAATAGTGGGTCGTTCGAGCTGCGGGAGGGAGGAGGGGATCGCCGGGAGGCGGCGAGATCGGTGGGCGGCGGCGTCGGTGTCCAGGTAGGGAAGTCAAGGTAGGGCGCTGTGTTTTTTTAGGGGAATTGCTTGTGAAAATAACGTGCCACAACGATGTAGCGAGCGAATCCCCTTAAAAAAGACGTAGCGAGTGGATTTCCTTAAAACTGGTAGGAATGAACACGATTGATGACGTTGATAAATAGTGGTGAATGTTGGCCTAATTTACTATCATCATGCATGGAAACGAATCATCAAGAAAAAGAATACTTCCTATTACTACGCTCATAGGAAGCTTCATAATCTCTGCTACCAAACAGTTTCTCCCAAACAAGGAAGGAAAGTTATGGACCTGATTCGGAAGGAAACAAACGTTATGAAGATTAATTAATTTAGATTTGATCTTTAGAGATTGATTGTGATCTATTCTTTTACATAAAGACATTACTAAATAATTTGTGTCAGTATGGAAAGTTCTGATCCGTTCAATTTTTTTCGGTGTGTGAGAGGGTGAAGCGAAAATAAACCGATGAAGTGGGGGGAGGGAACGAAAAAAAATCTACGAAAAAAACCAGCGAAAATGGGAGGAGGTACCAAAAAAAACCATGATAGGTGGGACGAAAAAAACCCTGAAAGCGAGACTACCAACTGCTTCATTAGGAGTAGAGATAATACTTCACTCTCCTATTATTATAGGGACTGACTATGCTTGTGTTGCTGCTATTATTACATTGGGAATGCAACAGGAAAATTAATCAATTATTAGGTAGATCCTTTGAACGTCGTAGCAACGCGGTCGAGGACGAGTCGGAAGAACGAGCGGCGTCGCCGGTGCTGACCGAAGATGAGCCAACGCAATCGGTGCCGTCGGTGGAGAAAGCCCCTGCCCCGTACCGTCCGGATGACTCAAGATCCGGCACGGTCCTGTACATATGCAGGGGGAGCGCCGGCAGCCTCGCCTCCTCGGATTGCAGGATACTCATGGCCTGCGTGACAGACGGTCGCTCGCTCCGGTCCGGGTGCGCGCACCAAAGCCCGACGACGAGCACCCGTTCCATCCACCAGTCGTGGGCCTCGTCGCCCCTCAGCCGCTCATCCACCGCGTCAAGGATAGCGTCCCTGCCGTACAAGCTCCACACCCATCTGAGCAGCGTGAAGGATTTCTCCGCGGTTTCAACCACGGGCCGCCGGCCGGAGACGACCTCCAAGAGGACGACGCCGAAGCTATATACGTCGGACTCGGTGCTGGGCCGGCGCGTGTTGACGAACTCTGGGTCGATGTACCCGGCGGTGCCGAGCACGGCCTTGGTGGTCTGCAGCAATCCCGTGCCGTGGTCCACGAGCCGGGCCAGGCCGAAGTCCCCCAGCTTGGTGCAGTGCGAGGAGTCGAGCATGATGTTGCTCGGCTTGATGTCGCCGTGCAGGACGCTCTG